TGATGATGATGATGATGATGATGATGATGATGATGATGATGATGATGATGATGCGTACGTAATATGTGCCGGTAAAAGACGTATTACGGAGCTGCACCTTTAGGGGATTTTTTCTCATTGGATTAGTCTTATCTAAGTTGGTGTTAAGTTGGACAGTTTCTTATCTTTGCTGCATAGCCCGAGTGCTTTTTGTTGTAGGCTCTCGGGGCTGGCTGGCCAGGTGACATACGTAATAGGTGGCCAAACCATTATATTCTCTGTCTTTCTATTTAATGCAGGCAGGACTCAATTCCGATAGCTGCTCTTACTTCTTCATTTCTCTGCCTGTCTCGTCTAGTGATGTTAAGGGTTTTGCAGAGACATTAATTTTCATTGCAGCTCCGGTAAAGTTTCAAAATAATAATATGCTATATTTTATTTTTAGTCAGAGTTTATGCTTGTTTTAGTAAGAGTTTTACGCCACTTGCAACACAGTTAGGTCATAATATTATTATGAGCGTCGAAAATTACAGGGGATTTTTGAGAGTAAGACACAAAAAAATGAGGGAGGAGAGACATAGACGATAGATGTTTGATAGGAAAGAAGAGGGAGAGACATAGACGATAGCTGTTTGATAGGAAAGAACGGGGAGAGACAAAGACGATAGATGTTTGATAGGAAAGAATGGAGAGAGACATAGACGATAGCTGTTTGATAGGAAAGAAGGGGGAGAGACAAAGACGATAGATGTTTGATAGGAAAGAATGGGGAGAGACATAGACGATAGTTGTTTGATTGGAAAGAAGGAGCAAACTACACCAGAGAGCACCCCCGACAACCCAAACATGATAGAAGCATTCATTGAGAATATTTTAATACCGTGTAATCTAAAAGGCAGTGCTCATTGGCCTCATCGGTTCGGTTCGGCTCAATTTTTGTTCGATTCGGTTCGGTTTGCCGTATTTCTCGGTTTGGGGGCTAGCCAGATTGTCCTCCGCGGGAGAGCCAAAATACACAAAACGTGTTTCAAGGTCGCACGCTGGGTGACCGGTTTTGGTAGCTGGTCTATTTATACCCAGTGCCCATTGGGTGATCAACAAACCGATCGCCAACCGATCTCTCGACCCACGGCCTGAAAACAAAAGCGTTTTTTGTTGAGGCTGCGAGTCGGGCGATCGGATTGTGCCACGATGGTTTCTTTGGGCCCTCAATCTGGCAAACCCCGCCTACCAGACAGAACCGATCGTTCCACTGGGCACCCCCTTTCACAGTGTACCGTCAGAAACCGAACATGAACACGAACCGATGGTCCAATGGGCACCCCCTTTCACAGTGTACCGTCAGAAACCGAACATGAACACGAACCGATGGTCCAATGGGCACCCCCTTTCACAGTGTATCGTCAGAAACCGAACATGAACACGAACCGATGGTCCAATGGGCACCC